CACAAGATGATCATTTGGAGACGTGTGGATTACTTGTGGGTTATTGTGATGTTTTTATCAGCTGTTTGGACTCTCATTCTGACGGCACCCATTCACTGCAGAGGATCCTTTGGTGAGCAAGTGATGTAATGCTACATTCCTCCAAATCTGTTCTGATGAAGAAAAAACTCATCTACATCTTGGATGGCCTAAAGGCGAGTACATTTTCAGCAAATTTTCATTTCTAAGTGAACTATTTTTAATGCTATCGCTGCAGTAAAACAGCTTCCGGTTCAAGTTTTAGGATATGCTGAGTCTTTCAAATGAGCCCCAGATGAAGAAAGGGTGTTTGTTTACAACTGTGTAACAAGTTTTTGTGGTTCACAGAAGCTAAATCAGTGGAGTTTCTCAGGAAAAGCCTTGAATGGAAGCTTTTAGGAGCACAGGATACAACAAATGTTGATTTTAGCTTTAGCTTTGGATCACATGGCTGGATCCATGAAGTGGAGGACAAGAACAGTAGACAAGAGTTAATGGACATCAGCTAGAATTTAGTGCTGTGTATTCATAGAGTCAGATTTACTGCTGTTTTTTGTGTCTTTTTGGTGTATGTGTATTTGGAGATGGGAAAAAGCACACATCCATTGCAGTTATAAGCAAGTCATTTCCACATGAATGAAACACTCTTAGAACAAACATGTGATTTCACCCAAAGAAGCAGTTAACAGATAGTTCTGGATTTTGAATATTAGAGAGATTAATGATGTTATTAGCAAAAGCGAAACTGTGTTGTTGTGGTGTGACACGGATGCAGTGGTGCACTCTTCAGATAAAAGCAACCCTTTAAGATGAGCTAAACACTTCAAGTGGAATGTTCTGTTAGGGAAAAAAAAACATAAACCTAACAGTGCTAGTGTAAACAAACATTTAGTAAAGTTAAATTTTGAGAATAAGGCAAGTGAGGTCAAGTGGTGGGGATTTTACAATAATTTTTCTCAGGTTTCTCAGGTTCTCAGGTTTCTCAGGTTCTCAGGTTTCTCAGGTATAGGTCACACTTTCTGACTATAAACTACGACTTTTGCCTCAAACTCAATAAAATTGCTCAATTTGCTGCTTATTAATAGTTAGTAAGGTAGTTGTTAAATTTAGGTATGGGGTTGGATTGAGGGATCTAAAATATGGTCATGCAGAATAAGGCATTAATATGTGCTTTATAAGTACTAATAATTAGTATTATTATTAATAATAACATGCTAGTAATATACTTGTTAATAGTGAGAATTGGTCCTTAAAGGGGTCATATGATGCTGCTAAAAAGAGCATTATTTTGTGTATTTGGTGTAATGAAATGTGTTTATGCGGTTTAAGGTTCAAAAAACACATATTTTCCACATACTGTACATTATTGTTTCTCCTCTATGCCCCGCCTTTCTGAAACGCGTCGATTTTTACAAAGCTCATCAGTCTGAAAAAGCGAGGTGTGCTCTGATTGGCCAGCTATCCAGCGCGTTGTGGTTGGCCGAATACCTCAAGCGTCTGAAGGAAATGTTACGCCCCTACCATACTGTGATGCCCTGTCCGGCCGGAGCGACGATTCAAAAACATGAAAACCCATTAAAAACGAGGCATTCGTTGCATCCAGGGCTGGACTCCACTTCGTCCACGGTGAAAACCGATCTGGCGATCGACAGCTAGAAGTTGATGTATTTCCTCAGCGACCAGCATGGATCAGCTCTAGGCATGACGAAGCGGATATCGTCCTCTTTTGGAAGGCCAAACAAAGTAGTTTCGCTTTCACAACGAAACACAGCGCCTTCACGACATGGCGGTGGCGGCAACAACAATACTACAGCGAGAATAAGAGTTACGCCTTCTTTCTTTGCGTGAACATTTGGGCGGCGTTATGCAAATCTTCCCACATCATGACGTAGATATGTGCGGGTGTGTTAGAACGAGGCATTTTAGGTAGGTGTGGTTGACTCTTAACTTTTATAAAGAATATCTCTTTGGATTTGAGACTTTAGTCTTTGCAACTTTACAGATCTTCTTTATGCACCAAGAGCTTGTAACACTCCAAAGAGAAAGGAAAAATTGAAATCGCATCATATGACCCCTTTAAAATAAAGTGTTACATACCAGTAGGTGTGACAAGTGACTGTATATGAGTGAATCTTTAAATAATTGATGATGCAGTCACATTAGCAACACTTTTGCTAATTTTGCAGACAAAAAAGGTTCATTGTCGGTTGTCCATAGTCTAGTGATGTATGAAGCACTTTCAAACCAAGAAGCTTTCTATTGGTCAATGCTGCAAAGTCATGTGACCAATGTGAACCTGCGAAATTTGCATTGGGAAATCTTTCACGCTCATGTGAAATTCCAGATTGCTTGGATTCTTATTGTAATTACTGCATTTTGCGCACAAAAAATTTGCTGAACAATGGTAAATGTGACCTCAACACTAATTCTTTCAGGAACAAAACAAATGGCTTTTTATGAGTGAGTCGTTGAATCATTCTCTACTGTATGTTTCTCAGAGATTTTGTTGGCTGAACAAAAATGAATAAGTTGCTTAGTATTCTTTTTATTGTGAACTGTTGTGTAAAAGCAATATGATCTTCACAATCAGGTTGTTGTCCTGATTATAGACTAAACAGCAACTTTAACTATAAATAAATGTATTTTAGAATTGCCCTTTGGAGAATGTAAACAATAAATGTAATTAAATGTAATCTGTCTGCAAAGGTGTTATTGCTACTTTTGCATTCTTAAACCATCTATAGCTTGATCCTCATGCATCAAGCTTCAAACCTTAAGCTTATCTGAAACACGATTATTTTGTTGTATTGCAAGCACCTGTACTTCCTTTTGCGTACTTGTGTGTATTTTCACCTTCATTTTGACCCTTACTGACACACATCAACAAAGTGTTGGGAGCGTTTCTCACCAGGCTCCAAAGACCAGCATTCCTCTGAAGGACACACCTTTGCAGTTGAGTAGATGCTGTCCATCTGGCTCAGAATGGTATTGTACTAAGAAAACAAAGAGAGCGATCAAAACACATCTGGATGCATTGTCAAGATCATCTTCCACAGCTCAAGTGGTCAACTCACCTTCTCTCTCTCAGCAGTTGGGAGATTTGCGGGTCCCAGAACATTGATATTATTGATGATTTTCTTCAGATCTGGATTAGTGAAGCTATCCATGAGAGAATCACTGAAGGTAGCCTTTGCTTTTTGACCCCATGCTTCTGTGAAAGCCTGCTCCTCCAAAGACGCATCTATCTGAAGGAAACAATGAGGAGAGTCTGATTATTCCATGCAAAATGACCCACAGACTCTCATTAAATCTAAAAAAAAAAAAAAAAAAAAAAAAAACATTTTAAAATACTCAAATATCCAGTGGAAACCCGGCTCTTCAAAAAAAAAAAAAAAAATGTAACCACTGTTCTCAACTTGCATCTGAGCTTCATGTTCTTATTTTATTGACATGGATATTGCCTTCCTTTTTGAGTGTTCTTGTCATTTTGAAGAATTTTCCCAGCATTGCACAATTCATGCACAGATCTCGTGTTTAAGTTGCAACCTCCAAGCCTTAATACTAAGAATAAAAAAAAAACATCAATTTAAATATCCATAAATGTATCATGGATTTTTCTCATTTAGAGTCATTAAATTAACTTTCAAGATTTAATGAAATAGTTTTAAAGAGCAGGTCATATGGTATTTTAAAGTGTCCTAATATTGTGTCAGAGTACCCTACAACAGGTTTAAATGTATCTAAGGTCAGAAAACATTGTAATTTTCTCCGAATATACATTTAATATTAGAGTCATTTGCCAATGATTTCGAAACGATTCATTCCAAGCAAGTTCGGAGCAAACCCCTCCCTTCCATAAGCCCAGTGTTCAAACTATACCGTGGACTTTGGGGGAGCCCACTGGGTTTTTTTCCAATCCGTTCTTATAATAATGACATAAAATAAAAAAACAGTTATGCAAGCGAATCGTGCCCACAGCTAAAGTTTAGCTGCTAAACTGTGAACACTTAAAACAATAATGGTGGAAAACTGAAAACTGATCATATTTTATTTTTATATATGACCTGTGTATTTCTTCATTAATTGTAATAATACTAATGCAAACCTTCATTTCTGAAAGCAACTCTAACTTACAGTGAGTCAGCAGATGTTGATTCAATACGCTCAGATCGGTTCAGTTCAGTAAGAGATTGTCAGACTGATTCAAACTTGTCTTTTGAACTTTTGATTGAATTGCTCATTAAATTAACAGTCTTATAAGAGTCATCTGTTTGGGAATCAGGCTACTCTAGTCACACTGTATGTTTTTGATTCACTAAAAAGAAATGACTCATAAGAGCCATTTATTTGTAAATGGGAATGCACAGGTCGCGTTGCATGTTTTTGAATCGCTAAAAAGATTCGCTTCATAAGAGTCATGTGTTCAAGATTCAGACTAGTCATGCTGCTTAGTTCCCTTTCAGTCAGTCACGTTCGACGTTACGTCAGTGACTGACGAATTGAGATCCCAATTCGTCAGTCACTGACGTAACGTCTCCGTTCCCTCCTTCAGGGAACGAGGGTTACATACGTAACCGAGACGTTCCCTTTCAGTCAGTCGCGTTTGACGTTATGTCAGTGACTGACGAATTGAGATCCCAATTCGTCAGTCACTGACGTAACGTCTCCGTTCCCTCCTTCAGGGAACGAGGGTTACATACGTAACCGAGACGTTTTGCTTCACTAAAAAGAACCAGATCATAAGAGTCATTTGTTTGTGAATCAGAATGCACAGCTTGCATTGTATTTGTTTTCTGATTCACTTAAAAGAACTGGCTCATAACTGAGTTGCTATTCTTTTCCACTCAGAAAGACATTACAAAGCGAATGCAATTTATTGTTAATGAATTGTATGCTTTTCAATAACTTAGTCTTGACCTAGCAGTTATCGCATGTGCTCTTACTTAACGTGATGCTCTTGTAGGGAAATGGGGTTGAGTCTTAATAATTGCGTCGAGCTCCCATATCTCTTTCCCTTCCCATCTCTGTATTCTCTGTTAGTAATCATTTCTGGCTCTTGCTCAGTCCTAGAACAGATTTGAGTTTCTTTCATTCTTGTTATGTTTTCAGTAAGAGCTTGAATTGCTTTTGCAGCAACAAGGAATGAAATGGGGTAACTGAGTTCACACCATCCATCAGTTTATTCTTTGGATCCTGACAGGAAATAATTTCTTTTGGGGAACACGAATAGCACCTAAAACAATACAAACTGAAGTATAAAGCACCTGCTAGCTCATATGCCATAAAACAGTAGTGTGCCTGCTGTGGAGAGCTGTGGAACACAAAAGAAGATTTTGAGGAACGCTGGTAACCAAACAGATTTGGTGACCATTAGCCTCCAATGTATGGCCAGAAAAATTCTTCAAAATATACTGTATATTTTTTTATGTTCCACGAGAAGAAAGAAAGTCATAATGTTTTAGAATGACATGAGGGTGAGTAAATGATAACAGAATTTACTTTTTTTTTTTATCCCTTTAAGACAAAAATGTTTGCACAGAGTTTAGTCTATTCAAAACCAATGTTTTGTGCATGCATGGCTTTTCAAAGGCGGTGCTTCATCACTAAATAAATCATATATGACCGCCAAGTTGTGGATGTGATTTTGCGTCCAAATTAATGTGATGAGAACAAAAATTTATTATTTGAATTGTTCGCATGAGCTTTGATGCAAAAATAAGCAATCCTACGGTGGCCGAGAAGTGCAAAACAAATCACAATTCTGAAAGCAAAATAACAAATTACAAACGCAAATGCAAGTCTAAAAAACAAAATAACAATTCAGAAAGCACAACAACAATTCAGAAAACATTATAACAAGTCAGAAAACACAATGACAAATTCGAAAACAAAATAACAAGTCAGAAAACACAACGACAAATCAGACAAACCGGAAAAGGTAGGTATAGTTTGAGACAACTGGACGAGACATCTGTCAATCAACGTATACAGAAGAACCAGCTGAAGAACAGCAGAGTCGTGGTAGAAAGTTCGGAGATGGTATTAAAGTAGCTCAGTTTAAAAGTATTGTATGAATTGCCCTTACTCTGGAATAAAAAATACGGGGTGTCTATTTACATTTAGTTAAAAGTGGCAATAAATCATCAGCTCCAGTGATGCAGATGGATAAGCCCTTGCTATGGAATAAAAAATACGGAGTGTATATTTACATTTAATTAAAAGTTGCTATCAAACATCAGCTCCAGTGGTGCAGTTGGATAAGCGCTTGTCGTTGGCTTTTTGACGCGATCGACCCGGGTTCGATCCCGCCTTTTGCCGAACTTTTTTTTTCTCCTTTTTCAAATCTCGTATCACATCGTAAAGGTATTTATTTTCAATAAAGATTAAGGAAATAATCAAAAAGTTGAAAATAAAGTATGGGGTAGGGTTAGGGTAGGTGTAGGGAGGGCTTTATTGTACCAATAAGGTGGCATCCATTTAATAATTAAAATTAAAATTATAATTTACACTCAATACGTTATTATTGCATACTGTTTTATAATGTACTACAATACTGAAGTGCAGATAATTGCCACTATTTGCAACAAGTAGTATACTTGATAGTAGAAATCCTGCTATTTTAACATAGTGTAAATAGCATATTGCTAAAAATACTGCTATTTTCACTTAGTGTAAATAGAATCCATTGCTAATACGAGATTTGAAAAGGGAGGAAAAAAAAGTTAGGCAAAAGACGGGATCGAACCCGGGACGATCGCGTCAAAAAGCCAATGACACGCACTTATCCATTGTCATTGTGTTTTTTGACTTGTTATAATGTTTTCTGAATTGTTGTTGTGCTTTCTGAATTGTTATTTTGTTTTTTAGACTTGCATTTGCGTTTGTAATTTGTTATTTTGTTTTCAGAATTGTGATTTGCTTTTCACTTCTCGGCCACCGTACAATCCAGACAGATTCACGTACAAATGATTCGTTTAATTAATTGCTCAAAAGAATCACAAGTTACAGGTTTGAATGAATCTGATGAATCATTCACTGAATGAGCTCACTGACCTGCCAGAGCTATTAAGGAATCAAGTTCTGATTCATTTGCTGAACTGTGAGTTATCATTACTTTTAGTGATGTACGTTTACATCAGGATGTTAAACTTAAAGCAAGATTTTTACAGACTTATTGTTCAAAAACAGGATTCTGTAGGAAACACAAAACACCATTAGTGTGACCCACAACTCTGAAATAATGCAATAAACGTGAACTAAAAAACATAAAAAACATAAAATGCATAAAACATAAAATGTTACATAATTATTTAAATAGTATATTATCAGTTCTGCATCATCACACAAAGTTTCACCAAACATTTTACCTGCAAAAAAAAAAAAGTAACAATATTTTGCTGTACATACACATGTTTGGTGTTATTATATGTTATGTATTATTTTGGTGTAAATTAAATGCAGTTTAATACTCTTTACTTCCAAAAAAAGTTATAAAAGGTATAAAAAAAATGTATATGTATATTTTATAATAATTATAAAATAAACAATTATTAAAAAATGATAGCAGTAAATTTACATGTATGTTTCTAAAATTATTGATCATATATGTTAAGGCAACAGCAAGGTTTAATCTAGCATTTTTACAATGTTTTTCTGTTAAAATCCCTAACATTTTTAGTGTACATTCTTCCTAAAGGTTTGTTGTATCCTAGGCTTGGGTGTGTCACTCTTTCTTGATGTTTTACCGTGTCCTGCTGTGGACAGTTTGACCCCAGCATCCCTTCTCTGTTATGATAACCACAGGGCGGGTTGACCCTGTCACATGGTTGCACTCATTAGTTAATGGGGTGATGCCTTTGTTGGCCCGACTGGAGATGAGCTTCTAACACTGATTAACAAGCTGGTGACATGTGCATTTATCTCTATTATCTCACATCCTTCACTTGCATGTTCACACTCGGTTTTCCTCAGAGATAAAGACAGCTAGCTTCTTGTTTTTTCACCTCTTCTTCCAAGGTCCCATTTGTTCTGTCATGTTTATGCAAGAATGTGATGATAAGTCAGAATAGGGTGCAAGGTTCAAGGCTTGACATGAAAAAGTAACATCATAATGACATGTGTCTGACACCATAAAAAGGGTGATGAACTCAATCAAGTGTGCACTTGGCTCTGAAACATCCCTGCAAACCCCCCTAAACATTTTTGCTTCCCTCTCTCTAATTCAGAGCAATGTGTATACCCGTTT